AGTACAACATTATGCCCTCTTCTTTTTTTTCAAGTTACCATCATCTCCCCACTGACCACAATGATTTATTTTCCTCTCACATGCAAAATATGCTCACCCCCACCCCAGTAACCCCACCTGTGTCATCCAGTTACGGGATCCTGCTCAAAGTCTACAATCTCATCACCGGTGTCACGTCCAAATGAGGTTCCCTGGGTACCCATCCTCAGGTGTGGCTCCTCTCAATATGGACAACTGCACAACAAAAAGACAAATTTTCCACCCCCACCCTCCCAAAATACATTAGTAAGCAGAATAATCACAGTTGAATAATCCTATTCAAGAATAGAGGTTGGGAGGTGTGTAGAAGTCACTGTTCTGTGGCAGTTCTAAAATATAGCGGGGCATGTTACCAGGCCCCCCTAAACCAGAGGGAGGAATGGTCTCTTGATCATGGTCCATTGCTGCCCCCTGCATATTAAACCATCTCTTCTGGAAGACTCTTGGCTCAGCCCTCTGAGACAAATTTACTTTTCCATCAGAAATGGCCCATTTTGCAGCTGAGTAGCTTTTTCAGTCTGCCTCCGAGAGAGTCCAGGTGGCACTGCCTTAAAACCTTCAATGATCTTAAGTATGACATCACTGCCATGTGCTTAATTTGGACATTGGTCCCAGGCCTCATTTCATCTTGAGAATATTATTTGCTGTGGACCCTAGGAAGAATAAACAGTTTTATTTTGCAGCCCAGCAAATCTTGGATACCTTATATTTTCTCTAAATTCTGCTTGCAAATTAAACAGTTGCATTTTGACCTCACCTGTCTCTTCCTGTATCTTATCATATGCGTTGGGGACCAACAAACTGACACTTACAATATTGTCCCTGGGGATTCCTTTAGCCAAATCCAAAAGCTTATTAGTAGCATTTCCTATCTTGAGGATCGTCTGTTATAAATCGTCTTTTATTACAGACGACAGTTTTGCAAATTGTGCTGGCACTACATAATGCTGCTTGCATTTTACCCAGATTGCTGGTATAGTTTCCTCACTGCTTTCTTATCCCCACAGTCAGTTTGCCACTAATCCAGCCCCTCTTAAAAGTTTTCTCATTACTATCTACTTTCCTTCCAGGGCAAGATTGTTTATTCAGCTGGTTACCTTGAGCAATGGGGTAATATCTCCCCAGGGACAAGGAGCAGGCTTGCCTACTGCTTGCTCTAAAAGCAGTGGATTCCCCAAGCTCAATGTTTCTCAGCTGCATCTCAAACCCACGGCGTGCAGAGCATTCATCTGGGCCATATCACATCATCCCCACAGGACTTCCGGGCAAAGAGAACTGAAGCAAATATGCTGATGAACATGCTGCCTGCTCTGCCATGAATAATAAAAGTCCTGTATCTCAGTCCCAGGAATCTTTGTCTGTTGTCAGCACTCATGAAACTGCAACGGACTCACTTATTAGCTTGTAAGTAGGCAAAAATCATATCCGAGAGCTACCAGTCTCCATCTCCAGAAGGCATTCTCGGTTTAATTTTCAATCAAACTTGAGTTAACACCACCAAAATCTGGCCATGATCTGACAAACGTATCACTTTCCAAAGATAAAATTGGGAGCAGAAAAAAACATTTTTTTTCCAAGTTCAAAATTATATCAGAATTCAGAACTTGAAGCAAGTCCTATTGACATCTCTGTGCTCATGTGTCCAGAGCTGGCCCAGCCTCAGATCAAGGGAAATAGTGCAGCATTGTTGAAAATTGGGTACTCTCTTCAAGGAAATTTTATCTTTTAGGTCATTTATCAATCTAGCAACAGGAAAAGTCCAACAACTGGCCAACTCCTATGGTTTATGTAATTTCTAAACAACCATAGTCATCTTTAACTCTGTGATTCCCAAATATGTCTGTCTCCCAAATATGTCTACCTTAGAAAATAAGTCAAAGGAAGAATGGGGATGTTAGAAGAAAAAAAAAGATAAATATCAATATCATTCATACAAGAAAGGCAAATACTGTATGGTATCCCTTAGATGTGGAATCTAAAAAAGTCAAATTTATAGAAGCAGAGAGGAGATTGGTGACACCAGGGGTTGGGCGGAACTGGGGTCAAAGGGTACAAACTTCCAGTTATAAAGATGAATAGATCTTAAGAATTCAATCTGGGGATCGAATGTACATCTTGATGAATATAGTTAACAAAATATATTGTATACTTGAAAGTTGCCAAGAAAGTAGATCTTAAGTGTTCTCGCCACAAGGAAAAAAAAAATAACTATAGGAGGTGATGGATGTGTTAACTAACTTTATTGTGGCAATCATTTCACTATAAATACACATAACAAGTCATCACGTTGCACATGTAACACGTTATATTTCAATTATATCTCAATAAAGCTGGGGGGGATTTATACAGCACCTATCATACGCCAAGGAACTATAAAAAGTTATTTTGTTGACATTGATGTGAAACTTTATTGTAACTGTTGCTGCATCTTACTAAGATATAGGAATCTAATTTCTTCGATTTTGAACTTCTAACCTCCAGAACTGTAAGACACTACATTTCTGTTGTGTAAGCCCCTCAGTTTGTGATACTTTGTGACAGCATCTTTACAAAATGGATACAAGACACTGTGCCAAATTTCCTCTATCTGTCCTGTCTTTTTCTTTTCTGATCAAAGTAAGACACAGCACCAAAGTATGACCAGTAACACCTTCCTGCCCCATCCGTCCCCTCTCTCACTGCACCCAAAGGAACCTTTTAAAGGACTCTTCACTTTCCACTTCTTCAGAGCCCTTTCCAACTACCTGGAAAAGAGGTACTGAGTTTCTCCTTTTTACTCAGATTTTTCTGATATGAATGTTCACCTCTGCAGTATCTGAAATTCCTATGCTATGCATATGTGCAATGAATTTTTTTTCCTGTGTTTAAACTACTCCATGTCAGTTTGCTTTGGAAGGAGGTTTGATTTTCGGAAGCCTGTTTTACAGGGAGGTGCTGTGTTCACATGAAAACTGTACAGGCTTCATACCAGGCACACCTGATACCCTATGCTACCTGCTACTAGCCAGGTGACCTCAGTGTCATACTCGTGGTTGCCCTATTTGGGGGGAGGGGGGTAGTAATTAGATTTTTTTTAATTTTCTTTAATTTTTAAAAAATTATAAATTTTTTAATGGTGATACTGGAAATTGAACCCAGAACATACAGCTCTCTCTGCCTTACTAATGACAGGAATTGATAAATGACTCACCCAAGGGCAGGAAGCAGTTCGGGTAGAATCAGGAATCAAATCCTAGTTCTTTTGATTCTATGTATTGTGTCCCCCTAGTCAAACACAAACTTTCCCCCAGATTTAGTTAATTTAAAGATCTGTAAAATGAAAATACAGGTGCTATACTTATTGAAAAAGATCCGTGTGTAAGTGGACCCATGCATTCAAGCCCGCGCTGTTCAAGGGTCAACTGTCATTTTTTATTAATATAAAAAGAAGCAATATCTGTGCATCAAAACATTAGAAAATAGGCATGCAAAAATAAATACATAAAATTTTTACATTTCCACCTTCCAGAGACCCTCAATGAAACATTTTTAAAAATTTTTTTAATTGTGTTATAGTCAATTTACAATGTTGTGTCAGTTTCCAGTGTAGAGCACAATTTTTCAGTTATACATGAACCTACATATATTCATTGTCACCTAGTTTTTCACTGTGCGCTACCACAAGAGCTTCTATATATTTCCCTGTACTACTAAACAGTATAATCCTGTTTATCTATGCTATATATACCTGTCAGTATCTACAAATTTCAAACTCCCAGTCTGTCCCTTCCCACCCCTTTCCCCCCTGGCAACCACAAGGTTGTATTCTATGTCTATGAGTCTGTTTCTGTTTTGTATTTATGTTTTGTTTTGTTTTGTTTTTAGATTCCACATATGCGCAATCTCATATGATATTTTTCTTTCTCTTTCTGGCTTACTTCACTTAGAATGACATTCTCCAGGGATATCCATGTTGCTGTGAATGGTGTTATGTTATCATTTTTATGGCTGAGTAGTATTCCATTGAACAAATAAACCACATCTTCTTTATCCAGTCATCTGTCAATGGACATTTAGGCTGTTTCCAAGTCTTGGCTATGGTAAATAGTGCTGCTATGAACATCAGAGACCCTCAATGTAACATTTAATGAGCTAAAAAAAGCCTTATCCTGTACAATTGTTCTGTAATCTGTTTTCATGAGTACACAATCTGTCTTTCTACATTCAAATTTTTCTGATTGACCCAAACATGTAGCAGTAGTTTCAAAAACCAAAACCTGATGTTTTTCTTTTTTTTGCTCTTTCTTTTCTTCCTTGCTTTTTTCCTTTTTTTTTTTTTGAAAGAGTCAAAAAGCAAAGCTTTGAAGAGGCTGCCCATGAAATTTAACCTTAAACAAGAGCTCACAGGACTGTTGGCAGAGGATGAGAACTCTGGGAAGGGTTGAGGAGGGAAGGGGAGTCCCCCGCTCCTGGAGGTTCCTCTCCTCCAGAAGCAGAGTCTCTTTAGGATGGCCTGGCCCCCATCCAAGTGAACACCTTGAGCCCCGGCTCCTGAAAGGTGGGCTGGGACCTCAGCCAAAGCTAATAACCACCACGGCCATTTGTAAGTGCTTCTTGTTGCTATGCCAAGAAGCTGCAGTGGTTTTGCTATGTCCCCAGAGGGCCCCCCAACAGCAGAGAGCAACGTGCCAGGTGACCCTCAGCAGGAGGGACCCCCATCAGCAGCTTTAGACTCTGTCCGGCCCATCTGGACTCGCTCGGGGCCCAGGATCTAGGTCTATGTCCCTGAATGCACCCCCATTTTTGGGCCGAGCAATCACACATCCGGAACAGTGTCAACCTCAGCTCGATGGATGTTTGTTTACTTTGGCAGGCCCATCTCTGACTCCAATTACACAGTCATTGGTACGGTGACATTGCCACCTGTACAAAACATCTTATTTGCCAATAAATCAAGTCACTTAAAAGAGAGGAAAGAGAAACACCATTAACCACATTGTGTGACTGTAAGTGATGAGATTGGTTCTCCTGAAAGATGGCAGTCTAACTCTGAACAAAGTTCCCCAAGGAGGAGGAAACATGCCATTTTGAACAACGGTGCCATCGCTGGAAAAGGCATCCAGTCTCTCTACTTCGAAGACCAGCACTTATTCAGGTGTGTAAACTCTAGTATCTGTTGCTGTTTTCTTATATATATATATTTTTTTTAATTGAAGTGTAGTCAGTTTACAATGCTGTGTCAATGTCTGGTGTACAGCACAATGCTTCAGTTGCATGTTGTTCAGTTTTCTAAGTCTCGTTATTATGGAGTTGACTTCATGACTATTGTAAGATATTTGGCATTGCCTAAGTGCTTTAAATGAGCTTTACAGTTCTCAGAAATCATTATCCCCATAAAGAAATTCTACCTGGACTGCAAAATTTTTTAGTGTCACATTGATATTTAGCAGTTTAACCTCCTCTGTCACAAGGCAACAAATAACATCAGTACTGATAAGTAAATAGCAGGTACCCGCTCTGTTAGAGGCCTTGAGGTGTTGTTACAAAGGAGAAATTAGACATGGCCCCTTGACCTCTGGTTTCTGAGGTCTGACCAGAAAGGTAAGACAACTTAATAAAGAAATCAATAGACAGGTGGGGGGAGGGTCAGCCAGAAATATGCTTAACAATTTTTATAATTGATATAGATTTTTAGGCTAAATTTGAAAGAAAAATATTTTGTTAATTGTTTAGGTTCTTCTTGGCTTTGTTCACATTTGTCATGATTTCATTAAGCTTTTATTTTCATGCTCACTTTAATTTTCACTATACCGTATATGTTAAGTTTTAAGAGGAGATAATAAGACCAAAGTAAAATGGACTCCCCCCCCAAAATTCGGTGACACAAATTTTCTCCACAGAACGAGGTCTTTCAATGACAGTATTTTTATTTTGGTCTACAAACTATTGTTAAAATCTTTGCACTACGATATCTGCTCGTTTACTAATGCAATGGAAACATTTCTTAGAGGGAGCTAGGCAAGTTAGATGCAGCCCATTTTACACAAAAGGAAATGTACAGGAGGGCTCACGTGACCTCTCCAAATTCTCACCACATGTCATAAAAGCAGAAATCAAGTCTCCTGACTTAGCCTTTTGCTGTGGCCCCTTCATGCTGTGGTCGCTGATTTTAACCCTTGGCTACCCGAATCCATTTCCAGATTCTCTTCATAGTTGATTGTAGGTATGCCTACAATGGCTCAGGAAAATATCCTTATTTCATATGTCTAGTCTGTCTCAAAGGATATTGACATTCTTCACAGAACTTTAGAGCAGGAAGGGGTCCCTGAAATCTAGTCCAATATTCAGATTTTATAGATGAAGACTCTGAGGCCCAGAGTAGTTAAGCTCCCAGAGGAGCTCCAGGGTAAACAGTGGTGTAAAATGTATCCGATGAGAAAAGGTTAGAGGCACCAACACTGTTTCCTCCAAGCAGCTGACTTAATACAGACCTTTGAGTGTTAGAACAATCATGATTCAGGAAGTTTAACAAGGAAGTTTTTTACTTCTCTCTGTCTCTACCAAAAACAAAACAAAAGGGAGTGAGTTTTGATTAGAGTGAGCAAAAAGAATGAGGCTAAATATAAAACAGAATTTTCTGGTAGCCAAGATGATCGAAAACTGAGACAGGAAACCTAGAGATAAAATTCAGATACCACACAATTCACCTACTTAAGGTGTAAAATTCAGTGGTTTTTAGTATGTTCATAGTTGTACAACCATAAATGTAATCCGTTTTAGAACATTTTCATTGAAAATGAAACCCTCATACCCTTTAGTTTTCATTCCCTGTCCCCTCATTTCTCCCACCACAGGCAACCACTAATCTAGTTTGACTCTATAGATTGACCCATTCTGAACACTTCATGTAAGCGGAATCATATAATATGTATTCTTTCGTGACTGTCTTCTTTCCTTAGCATCATGTTTTCAAAGTTCATTCATGTCGTAGCATGTATCAGTTCTTTCCTTTTCATTGCCAAATAATACTCCATTGCATGGATATACCACATATCATTTATTCATTCATCAGTTGATAGGTATTTGAGTTGTTTCCACCTTTGGCTTTTGTGAATAATGCTGCTCAGAACATTCATGTGCAAGGTCTTGTACAGACATAAGTTCTTATTTCTCTTGGGTACATACCAAGATGTGGAACTGCTGGGTTGAATGATATCTCTATGGTTAGCTTTTCAAGGAACTGCCAGGCTGTTTTCCAAATTCATTGCATCATTTTACATACAGTAGTGTAAGAGGGTTCTAATTTTTCCACATCCTCACCAGCATTGTTATTATGACTGTTTGGTTATAGCCATTTTAGTGGGTGTGAAGTGGTATCTCATTATGGTCTTGATTCTCATTTCCCCGATGATTAATGATGTTGTACAGCTTTTCATGTGTTTACTGCTGATTTGTATATCATCTCTGGAGAAATGTCTCTTCAGATCATTTGCCCATAAAAATGTTCTTTTTGAAAGGTTAAGTGCAGACTGGATTCTCAATTTCTGGGTTGCTTGAAATCTAAACCTCTATTCTATGAATTATATGAGTCCTATTTGTATGAGTTTGAATTCTACCAATCCTTTCTAGTTCCATGAATCTACAATTTGGAAGAATTCCCCTATCTTAAATTTGATTTTTATAGAATGGAAACTGAAGGATAAAATGCTGCAAAAGCTCCCCACTTCCTATAGAGATGAGCTTTCAAGTTAGAGGAGCTATGTAGATGCATTCCAGGCAAGTCCTCTGTTTGAATGGTTAGTCCTACAAAGCAGACTTTCCATATTGGTGCAAAATCTAGCCAGAAAGGAGGCAGTGGGCAAATGTGCTTCATTTCCTGTGGCCTTTGAAATGATTGCCTGAAAAAATAAACCCAGCTTTTGTCTGAATTATATTATGGGGTGATCCATCTTCAATGGCTAAGAGCATAGCTAAGTTGTTTCACAAATGTATGGTGTAGCATGGAAATATACATCCCAAGGAAAGCAATTCAACAGGGTTTCTGTATAAACATGTTCGTGAAGGGTGCAGCCTTGGGAGGGCTTTGCTTCCAGGCCTTTCCTCATCTCTGAGTTACTATGTTGCTTAATTTAAAGATGAACTTTTTTAATTTAAATTATTTTTCAAGGTCTGTGGGCTCAACATTCCCAAAAATAAGGCTAATGATGGTAGGAAGGAAATGAGCATGTACCAGTTCGGGAGTAGGTAGATGGAGTGGTTTGAGGTTTGGGAGTTAAGTGTGAAAAGATACTTCAGGTGCCGCTAAAGTCACCACTGTTGATCACGTGAACACAGTATGAGCTCACTGAGTGTTTAAGAATGAATGACAGGAGTTTTTCTTTTTTCACAAACAAAAGACATTTATATTACATCACTCACATGCACGTCATCTCAAATAGTACTAAAGGAAATGTGAAGGCTACATGGACAGCTCTAAGGATCCCATTGTTAACTGAAGAAGGACACCCCAGGTAAGTGATCATTGGAAGGTTTACTTTTAAAAAGAAGAAGATAATGCTGTCTATCAACTATATTTCAATTTCTACAGGTTCTCAAAAATAAATAAATTCATGAACTTACAGGGGTAAAAAAAGGAGAAGAAGATGGGATCATGGAGTTTTCTGATTATCGGATATTCTCAGGGCTCACCGGTGGCTAAACTCAGATGTGAGGCAAAAATGGCCATAATGCATATCTTCTGCAGTTCTCCCTCCCCCGGATTTTCTAGCCTACCCATGTCCACCATGATGCTTCTGTCTCAACTATTTTCCCACCTGCTGCACCTGCTGATGAAGAAATCAATAGACAGTCCCCAGATTCCAGTCTTTGGTGTAGGTTTCAAATGCCCAAAGGTCAACCAGGAGAGCCAAGTTCAGCCAGCAACTGCTCAGTCTCCCAGAGGCTGGAGGAAAGGTGGGGATTAATTCTTTTAATATGTTATTCACACATCTTACAATCACCTTATACTCCTTCAATCATTGATTCTTAACCTGCACAATCTCCGGTTTGGGACTCTTGGTAGTATCCGTAAGGAAAATGCCATGAAGACACCTCACTGCCACAACCACAGCTCACAAGCCAAAACATCAGAACAAACAACACGTGATGGAAATGAGGACAAAGAAGCAGGGAAGGGGGCTGAAAAAACTTTCAGGATTTGCAGAGAGACATATAAAGTGCTTAGACCTCATATTTTACCAAGAAAAAAAAATGTGACCTTTACACAGGAATCATGTCTTATGAAACAACTTTATAAACCTAGAAGCTTGGTTTTTGTTAATTATTGATGAAAAGCAAGAAACAGAAGGATGAAATACTAAATGGAGTGAAACTAGGTCATTGAGGACCAGGACAACCTAGGCCAAGTTGGATAACTTAATGTATAGGAACTTAAACAAACCAAAATGCCATAAACTTATTTCATAGGGAACTTCCTTTTGCCTCTATATAAATTTACCTCTGTCTGTCTGAGAGATGAGTTTCTCTTTTCAGGACTGAGTAGTAGAATAGTTATGAAACCCTATGCAAAGAAACTGAGAAGTTTCAAAACTGAAATTGATAGTACATTTGTACCCAGTCTGAGTAACCCCCAGCTGCATGAGTTTTGAAGTCTCAAAGGCCAGAGCTCCCTATCCCTTCCTTCTGTGGCTTTGGGAACAGTTGGATCAGCCAATAATATCTGAATGGCTGAACAGCCCAGAAAGCTTGTATGGTGGGCAAACTGAAGTGGGCCAGCACATGGCATGGCTTACCCTGCAGCAGGTCATAATTGCAGTCAGGTCTCCATGGTGACATCTCAAGCCATGAGGTTGGAACTGTGGGATTAATGACATCCCACGACTGGAGCAACCACAGTGCTGAGAACAGCTTTGACTACGGTAAGTAATCCACAGACCTGAGATTTAGATGAAGAAATGTAAGAACTTAATCCATACTGAGGGACAAATTAGGATGAGTCTGGAGAGAAAGTCTTCCTGTGTGACATTCTGGAGGGCCTTTGAGTTCTCTCACTGTCCAGAGCCCCCACAGTGGTACTGGCGAAGGAGGAAAGGCCAGAAAAAGTGTTTCTGAGAATGTCCTAGATGGAAACCAAGAATGAAAGAATGAGAATTCCATGACTGCCTAGTTGTTCCTTGATAGTGTCTTAGATTCGCTGGTGACCAACTCCATGTACTTAAGGAAGCATCGCATGATTAGAGTTACCCAAAAGACTGTAGACTCTTGTCCTAGCCATCTATGTAGCCATCCTGAAAGCGTCAGAAATGTGTTTTTATTTCATTTAGGTGGTTCCAGGGAGAAACCGTCCCAGGACCCATGTACGGGCACAGCTGTTTCCCCTGATCAGGATCCTTGCTGCACCCAAGTAAGACTCACGTTATCAGAAATACTTTGTTCTGTCTCTGCTCACTGCTAATTGCGTTCTTTATTGCCTTTAAACAAAAAGCTCCTACTCTTTTCTTCCACAATGATGATATTCATTCCTTGATCATTTCACCTCCTATTCACCAATGAAGTGAACTCCAATCCACCAGGATTTTCTACTCAACTTTCCTGTAGAAAAACAAAACAAAACAAAACAAAACTTAAAAGCAGTTCTATTCTTAGGGGTTTTAATTTCTCAAGCAACTCAAAATCAGTCCTGTTTAAAATCTTTCGAGTTCCCATCTTAGTCCTCTATACATTATAGCTGTTTCCTGTCAGAGGCTGGGGACATTTTATCTTAATTTTCAGAGATCACAGTCAAGTCAAGGAGGGACATCACCACTGGGATGTCTACTAGGCATCGTTTCATTTTCAATTCATTTTCATTGTGGGAAAACTAAATCAGTAAGTAGTCAAAAGACTACTTACTTAATGGACTACCGCACCTAAACACTTATCCTAAAATTTAATCCCCTAACAAAGTATGAAAACGCCAAAATTACAAAGAAAATTATTAGATACAAGGGACTTGTCAATAGCAATGCTTTCATTATATAAAGTTTAATTTAGGCCTTCCTAAACAGTTTTGGTCCATTGTTCTGTCAAGTGTTTATATGCACAGATGCTGGAACCTCTGTCATTAGCAGTAGGAGGCAGCTCTGTGCCAGCACGTTGTGTTAGCACCTTAGTAGAGTTAAACTTCCGGAAACACAGATAAGAAACCCTAAATTGTTGTGGCCCAACAATTGTTGTAAAGCTCACGCACGGGACTCTACAGAAAATAAAGTCAGCACTCGGCCTATTTCATGTATCGTTTAATGTCCTGGGTTATCTGGTTTCCAGAGCACACAGCAAACAAGATGATGAGAGCAGATGACAAGCAGTGACAGCTGACATTTTAGGTTGGCCGCTACAATAAGTGGCAGCTGATCAACAGAAAAATGAGAAAAAAGAAAAAAGAAAAAACTTCTAAAAAGCAGGCAGGCAGATAGAAGACCTCAAATCCCAGAGATACAGAGCAATTTTGTTTCAGGACTGGCAACTCTAAGTGGCCTCTGTAATTTATTTCAACACAGTGAGGTAATTGGCTTAATTATCCTCAAAAGTTGGAGCTGGAAAGCTGCCCTAGGCATCCAGTCCAACTCTCCCAACTTACGGATGAGGAAACAGAGGCCTGGGGAAGCCCTGATGGCCCAGTTCAGCATCATAGCTGGTTAGTAGTGGAACGGCAGCTGGCACCAGTTTTATCCCGGCCACAATACACTTCTCCTTGACAAAATAATTGAAGCCTCACTGGTTAAATGTGAAGATCAAAGGAGACAAAGTACAGAAGATTAGCACTCAGACACAGAAAGAGAACAATCTCGTTAGCTACTATTACTTTAGAATCTGATATAAAAATGGTTGAGCATTTTTAATATGAATCTTTTAAATAACTTTGCTCTTTTGGAAAATTAATTTTCATGAAGCAAGCCACTCTTGGGTGCTAAACTGTCACCTCCTGAGAAAGGTCTCCCTTGACTACCCTGTTAAAAATAGTGCCTCTTTCAGTTTCTGTCTGTGCCTTGATTTCATATGTCTTATAACCTATCACCATGTGAAATCATATACAACTGTGTATGTGTGTAACTGACTATAACAAGCCTGGATAGTAACATAATGGAACCCCTTTATGATGATGGTGTTTAGATCCAAGTCCCAATATTCCCATCTTAAGCTGAGTTCTATCAAGATTTTCTGTCTGTAGGTATGTTTTAAGAGGAAATATTTGGCTGAATCCATGTAACACAAGCATTTTTCTAGCATCGTTCCAATATCACTCTTAGACAGAACTTAAAACACACTCCTGCTTTTCCCATTTCCTTTCTACGTTCTTTAAAAGACCCTTACTATTATCTCCGATGGTCAAGGAAAAACTTAAGCATAAAAATTAGACAAGGGCTTAGAATGAGATGGGAAGAGGACAGCATTTGACATCTTAGTATCAATTTGATCTGGTTATTTTAATTCCATGTTAAAGTGTGGTTTCTGTGAGGTGGGGGAGTAGATTAGATTGTAGAAGGACTGAATGGTTGAAGATTTAGAGAAAATAGTATTTCCTCAAGCACCAAGTAAATACCACGTCTCCTGATACATGAAAAAGAAAGAGAATCCCCTCAAATAAAATGCTGTGCAATTGACTTTTTCTCTAACATTTGCGCCCAGTTGTTCTTCCAAATTTCTTTACATTCATTAGTGGATTCCTTGGTTAAAGAACCCTTGCAAGCAGAGGTTGAAAGGGAGTTCGATTTAAAGTGACTAATGGTCACTGTGCCAGGTCCCTCTTATGATTCTCCTTGTATTATGTATGAATTGGAAACCTCCTCTGCCTGACCTCTAGTGTTGGGATGTCTCAGGGCTGAGTCCTTGGCCCTCTTCTCTCTTCCCCAGGCAATGCCATCCAATTCCAAAGCTTTAAATGCCGTGAATGTGATGACTTAAGTTGATATTTCCAGCCCTGCCCTCTTCCTGATCTCCTGGCCCCTCTGTCTAACTACTTGCTGGACATCACCACTTGGATGTCTTCTAGGCATCTCAAACCTACCGTGAACAAAACCCAACTCTTCTTTTCCTCTCTCCAGACCTTACCTCAAACACTTCCTCATCCTAATGGCATCACCGTTGCTCAGACCCCAAACCTAGGCATCCTTGATTTCTCCGTCTCACCCCCATTAGGGGAGGATCCACCATGAATCTCATGAAGGTTAAGCTGCCAGGAGCCTCACATTGAAGCCTCGCAAGGCACCATATTTTGTGTTCAGATTTTAACTTTTCTTACAGAGGGCCCTCAAATTGTGTGAGTTTCAGGTCCTACGAAACCAGGATCTGCCTCTGCACCCTACATCCTGCTCTGTCTCTGAAAGAAAAGTATCTAAATCTGCCCACTCAGGACACTGTCGATGGCTGTCGTCCGAGCCACCGTCTCCTCATGACTTTCAGGTGCTACAATGACCTCTGTCACTTCCCTCCTACAGTCTGTTTCCTATACAGCAGCCAGAATGATCTTTTGAAACTTCTTCAGGTCAGATCCCTTACTTAACCCAATGGCTTCCCATTCCACTTAGAATAAGTCACACTATTGAACGATCACAGTGTCTTAGGTCACCTGGCCCCTGCTTACCCCCCAGGCCCTTTCTTACAGCTCACTCCTCCACAGCTGTGCCCTTCTTTCCTTGCTGGAATACACTGGACTCGTTTTTGCCCCTGGGGCTTTGGGACTCGCTGTTTCCTCTGCTTGGTGGAATTTTCCCCATTTCTTCACTTGTCTCATCATTCAAATCTCTGCTCAAATATCCCCTCCTTAAAGTAGCACCCAACTCCACCCCGGTCATCCTTGAAACCATTATCCACTTCTCCTCACTTGTCACTATATGAAATTATCTACCCCATTTACTTGTTTATTGTCTGACCTCTTTCAAAAGATTATAAACTCCGTGAAGATCCACTTGCTTTCTACTGAATCCTCACAGCCCAGCAGTAGTGCCCACAACTGGTAAGGTGTCCAGTGAATATTTGCTAAATAAATGAATCAATGAAATGTTTGCTAAATAAGTGCTAATGTAGTAAAATATGATATGAAGTGGTACTACACGTCCAGTGGGGAGAATTGAAGAATATGAACTATTGTGGAGGTTTTTTGTTTCTTCCTCATTGCCTATAGACAGTTAAACATCTATCCTGCCAGTGGATGAGAATTTGAGATGTGGATTATGTCACAATTAGTATTCCACTCTGTATGTCATCACAATGCATGAGGTAAAATGTATATGTCATTGTGCCCAAACTGTAAGGTACTTGGCAATAAATAGCAGTTAGGTGGAGAGCAAGATGTATAGACTAAATCATCTCTGAATCTCCCTATTCCTCATCTCCTACCAGGTAATGGTTTAGGGATGCTCGAAAGGTTTGAGGGTTATGAATGTTATCCGTGTATTCTGAACAAAGCTAAATATACTGTGAAAGACAGAAAAAAGAATCGGTAATTAAGATCTGGATCAATTTCCTTCAGATCTCTTGGGGAAAGCATTTTTTACGATAACAGCTGTGTTGAGATATCATTTGCATACCACAGAGTTCACCCTTTTAAAGTGTACAATGGGGTGTCTAGTATTTTTATGAGAGTTGTGCATCCATCACCGCTGTCCCATTCCAGAACATTTCATCACCCTGGAAAGAAACTCCATACCATTTAACAGTCACTCCACATTCCCTCCCCTCCCCTCCTGCCCCCACCAGCAAGTCCAGGCCCCTGGCAACCTGTGATCTACTTTCCACCTCTCTGAATTTGCTGATTCTGGACCTTTCATATAAATGGAACCAAATAATATGTGACTTTTTGTGTCAGGTTTTTTTTCACTTAGCGTATTTTCAAAGTTCATCCATGTTGTACCATGTGTCAGTACTTCATTTCTTTTTACTGCCAAATTATATCCCACTGTATAGATACACCACATTTTATCTGTTCATCAGTTGATGGACATCTGAATTGTTAATTCTTTTTATTATGAATAATGATGCTGTGACCATTCATGTACAAGTTTTTGTGTTGACATGTTTCCATTTCTCTTGAGCATACACTTAGGAGTAGAATTACTGAATCATACAGTAGCTCTGTGTTAACTTTTGAAGACCTGCCAAATGGTTTTCCATCTTGATGCACCATTTTACATTCCCATCAGCAGTGCAGGAGGGTTCGATTTCCCCACCAGCACCTTCACCAACACTTGCTAGTGGGTGGGCACGAAGTGATACCTCATTGTGGTTTTGACTCATGTTTTCCTAGTAACAAATGTTGAACATCTTTTAAGTCGGTTATTAGAAGATATTCAGATATCTTCTTTGGGAGGTTGTCTATTCAAATGTTTTGCCCATTTTTTAAAATTGGGTTGTCTTTTTGCTATTGAGTTATAACAGTTCTTTAGATATTCTGATAACAAATCCCTTATCAGATATATGATTTGCAACTATTTTCTCCCATTCTGTGGATTGTCTTATCACTTTCTTGATGGTTTCCTTTGAAGCACAAAAGTTTTTAATTTTGATGAAATCCAACTTGTCTATTTTTCTTCTTTGTCTTTTGTGGGTTTTGTATCATCTCTAAGAAACCAATGCTTAATTCAAGGCCGTGAAGATTTGTCCTTGTTTTCTTCTAAGCATGTTATAGTTTCTGCTCCCAGACTTAGGTTTATGCTTCATTTTGAGGTTTGCATATGGTGCGAGGTAGCAGTCCAACTTTATTCTTTTGCACGTGGATATCCAATTGTACAAGCATCATTTGTTTCAAAGACTCATCTTTCACACTGAATGGTCTTGTTACCTGTATACATTAGCATTCTCCAGAGAAATAGAACCAAAAGGATAAATTATGGAGAGATCTACTTTAAGGAATTAGCTAACATGATTGCGGGGAGTGGCATGTAGGAAATCTGTACGGCAAGTGGAAATTCGGATAAAAATTGGTTCTGCAGTCTGAAATCTGAAATTTGCAGAGCAAGCCAGCAGAGTTTTCCTATGTTGCAGTCTTGAAGCAGAATTGCTTCTTCCTGTGGAAACCTCAGTCTTTGCTATCAAGGTCCTTCCTTTGGTTGAATGAGACCCACCCACCTTATGGAGGGGAATCTGCTTTACTTAGATCAACTAATTATAAATGTTAGTCACATCTACATTACCTTCACAGCAACATCCAAACTAGTGTTTGACCAAACAACTGGGCATCATAGCCTACGCAACTTGAAACATAAAGTTAACCATCACAACACCCTTGTGAAAAATCAATTGACCACAAACATAAGGTTCATTTCTGAATTCTCCATTCAATTTCATTGATCTACACATCTATCCTTACACTAGTACCACAGTGTTCATATTGTCACTTTATAGTAAGCTTTAAAATCAAGGTGTGAGTTCTCCAATGTTTTGTGTTGTTTTTTTCAACGTTGTTTTAGCTATGTGCAGTCTCTTATAACTACTATGAATTTTAGGATCAGCTTGCCCATTTCTGAAAAAAAATAGAAATTTTTATAGGTATTGCCTTAAATTTGTGGACAAATTTGAGGAGAATTGCCATCTTAATATTTAGTCTTCCAACCCATGCACTCAGAATGTCTTTCTATTTATCTATATCGTTATAAATTTCTTTTAGCTATGTTTTATAATTTTCAGCATACAAGTCTTACACTTCTTTTGTTAAATTGGTTCCTGGGTATTATATGATCTGTTGATGCTATTATAAATAGGATTTCTTTAATTTCATTTTTTGATTGGTCATTGCTAGTGTATAGAAATATAACTGATTTTTATATATTGATCTTGTATCCTGCAGCCTTGATGAATTTATTTATTGTTGTAATAGCACTTCTGTGGATTTATCAGAATATTTTCCTATACCAGATCATGTCATTCGTAAATCTCCAGTACAAGGCTGAATAGAAATGGTGAGAATGGACATTTTTATCTTACTCTTGATCTCAAAAGGAAAGCATTCATTTTTTTCTCCAGTAAGTATGATACTAGTTGTGGATTTTTCATGTATGCCTTTTATCAGTTTGAGGAAGTTTCCTCCTATTCCTAGTTTGTTGAGTGTTTTTTTTTTTAAACATGAAAGGATGTTTGATTCTGTCAAAGGCTTTTTCAGCATCAGCTGAGATTATTATGTGGTCTTTGTACTTTATTCTATTAGTATGATATATTACACTGATTGATTTTTCTTATGTTATACCAACCTGGCATAAATTCCACTTGGTCATGATATAGAATCCTTTTTATTTGTTGCTATATTCAATTAGCTAGGATTTTGTTGAGAATTTTTACATCAATACTTATATTGTTATGTAGTTTTCTTGAGCTATCTTTCTTTGGTTTTAGTATCAAGTTAACACTGGCCTCATAAAATGAATAAGTGTTCAGTCTGCTTCTATTTTTTGGAAAAGTTTAATAAGTATTGGGTGTTAATTCTTCTTTGAATGTTTGGTTGAATTCATTAGTGAGGCCGTCTAGTCCTGGAATTTCGTTTGCGAGAAGTTTTTAAAATTACTAATTCAATCTCTTTGTTAAAGGTCTGTTCGATTTTCTGTTTCTTCTTGAATTCACTTTGGAATTTGTGACTTTTTAGGAATTTTCCCACTTCATATAGGTTATCTAATTTGTTAGCATACAGCTGTTCATAATATTCCTTTACAATTCTTTTTTATTTCTGAAAGTTTGGTAGTGATGTCTTGCCTTTTATTTCTGAGTTTAGTCATTTGAGTCTTCTTTTTTCTTGGTCAATCTAGCCCAAAGTTTGTCAATTTTTAAAATCTTTTCAAAGAAGCTTTCTTCCTGTATTGTTTTCCAATTCTCTATTTCATTTATTTCCTTTTCTTGTCTTTATTATTTCTTCTGCTTGCTTTGGGTTTAGTTTGTCTTTTTTCTAGTTTCTAAGAAACTAGGTTAGATTATTGATATGCGATCTCTCTTCCTTTTTAATGAAGACATTTACAATTCTGCATTTCCTTATGAGAACTGCTTCTACAGCATTCCATAAGTTTTGGTATCTTGGGGGTTGGGGGCTTTTTCATTCATGTCAGTATTTCCTAATTTTTCTTGTGATTTCTTCTTCAAGCCATTTGTTATGTATGAGTGTGATCATTTCCACTTACCTGTGAATTTCCTTTTGTTCTTGACTTCTAATTTCATTTTACTATGGACGGAGAACATACTTTGAATGATTCCAATCCTTTTAAACATACTAAGGCTTGTTTTATGCTCTGATATATGATCTACCCTGAAGAATGTTCCCTATGCACTAGAGAAGAATGTGTATTCTGCTGGTTTTGGATGGAGTGTCCTACAGATAGATGCCTGTTAGGTCTAGGTGGTGAATAGTGCCCTTCATGTCTTCTATTTGTTGTTGACCTTCTGCTTAGGGGTCCTGTCCTTTTTTGAGAGTGGAAACTGAAACCTCTGCAACTCTTTGGTTGAATTTCTCCCTTCAGTTCTGTCAAGTTTTACTTCATGTATTTTGGGTTGGTGAGGTACTTGTGTTTATAATTGTCTTCATGATTGATTGACCCTCTTATCATAATAAAATGTCCTCCTTTGTCTCTGACAACAATTTTATCTTAAAAATCTATTTTGTCTGACATTAATATAGCCATTTCAGCTCACTTTTGGATACTGTTTGTATATATATCTTTTTACATTCTTTTACTTTCAACCTATTTGTGTTCTAAGGAAAGAAAAACATTAAATTTAAAAACTAAATTGTTCTGCTAAGTATATCTTTATCTCAGGTATTAAAATGCAGCAAATGATGGCTTTTAAATCAACTTAGCACATTTAAATGAAAATAATCAACATCGACATAATAAAAGATATTTTTTCCTTTCTCCCATCTCTTAACCAGTCTTTGATTTAACCTATAAGAATTTATTCCATAGGGCCAAATCTGGAGTCAGTCTTACCTTCTAAAGGTTCACAAATCTGTTTACTGTCAAACCAGCAGGGAAAGGAAATTCCTAAGCAAGGAACACTGCTCAGAAAGTACTGTACCATGTCTCCAAATCCCTGAGAATCAAGTCGGAAAACTGGAAGCAACGGAAAGCACTATAAGGTAACTGATTTTCACCTGGTGACAAGTCATTTCTTAAATCTAAATGAACAAAGTATGCAGGGCACCTATGATTAGCTAGTTCTTTATTTTATTCTCTAGGAAAGCCCTGTCAGATAGAAATATATAATGTGACCCACAAATACCAATTACATATGTAAATTTAAAGTTTCTAGTATCTATATATTAAAAAAAGCCAAATTTATTAATGTAGTTAATAATTATAGCTTGTGAATAATATAATAATATATTCTCTTTAGTGTGGTATCATTTCTACATGTGACCAATTTAAAATTATTATTAATTTCCTGCTAAGTCTGAAGTTTAGAGTGTATTTTACACTTAAAGGACACCTTAATGCAAACTAGCCACATTTCAAATGATCAGTAGTCACAATGGCTGGTGGCTACCATGTTGGTCAGTGCAACTGTAGTATTTAAAGCTGAAAATGGCCTTGAAACCCTCTATGATGATTGAATCAAACCTGAAATTTTTTTTTGTTGGCCACAGTTATGCATTGCTGATATATTAGGAGTATAAAAACACAACAAGTAGATGTGCAATCAGAATTAAATTTACAAATTTTGGAGGCTCCAATCTGTGTTAGTCATGACAGCTAATGTGTCTTAAGCAATTGCTCTGTGCCAGGCACTATGACAAGTATTTGAAGACGTGGTGAAAGTACTTCTGATATCCCCTTTTCATAGAAGAGGAAACTGGGCTGAGAAAGGTTAATTAACTTGGGCCAGATCAACAGCATGTCAGTGGTGAAGTCATTATTTGAATGCTCATTCTGGCTACCTCTGGAGCCTGTGATCCCAGTCTCCAAATTCTCCTGCCTCCCTAAAATGAAGCCAACCATTGAATGCAGACATTCAGCGAATCTCATGTATAAAAACTATGAGAGAGAGAGAGAGAGAGAGAGCGCGCGCAAAAGAAACTGAGTCCAAATTTCCCCTGCCTGTGTTCAATTCAGCAATTTGCTGAGGGCCTATTGTGTGCAATGCCCTTTGGGAACGTGATGGTTTCACTTGCATCTGGTTGGCATGCTCTGACTATAAGAGACTCCTTCAGAAAGGCGCTTGAACATTTTGATAAAAAGCAGCTGAAGAAATGTGAACATTTTTGTTTTTTACAACATTTTTATTTGCAGCAAACAACTTTTCAACAGTTCTTACCTTTTTTGCTGGCTCTTATCTAGGCAACTGATAACATCACTATTGGAAAGAGTTAGAAATCTTATTTATTAGCCAAGTGTCTATTAACTGTTCTTTAATCCATTCCATATACTATTTTATTCTGCATAATTGAAAGACTAATAGAAAATACAGATATATTTTATTCACACACAAATGTGATTACACATCTATATCACATGTAGCTGTAAGAGTAATTACTTGCTTAAGGTCTATTTACTATGTAACCCCCTAAATGCACCTGACTAATAATAGCTGACAATTACCAAGTAACTACTATGCAAACACCATGCTATGCGCATTTACAAACATTATCCTAACTTTTACAACACCCCTATGTAGAAGTATTATTCCCATTTTTACAGATGAGAAAACAAATCCAACTTTTCTCATTGTACCAATGTTACCTATTAATACAAACACCTGTAAATAATACCATCACTTTACACCCATGTACCGCTACAGATTATAATACTTTCATTTATATCATCTAAACTCACCCTCATAGTAAATTGTGATACAGAGAGCTTGTGTGCTTACAGCTACCAGGACAAGTAGTTGTGGTTCTTTTGGAGTCCTAGGGCAACTTAAAAAAAATTATGGATTGTTCATTTGGGAGAATTTTATTTACATGAAGCACCCAATAAGCCAGAAACGACAGACGAGACCAAATTTTACCACAGCTGAGAGAGGCTTTAACAGATATTTTATAAGCCTAATTTCTCCAGCCACCTCACAATTTCTAGAACATGCCCATCAACATGGAAGTGTTGCAGAAAAATGTGTTACAGCTCAGTTGTGATAGCAACCTGGATCCTGGCAAGAGACCAAGCAGCACTCGGAGAGTTGGAGAACTCAGATTTATTATGCCAGCAGGCTCAGAAAAGTTAACACTCCAAGCTCTGGACC